AGACAGACAGACAGACAGACAGACAGACAGACAGACAGACAGACAGACAGACAGACAGACAGACAGACAAAGCGCTTTATAGTAAGTAGGATCCAGGTTATGACGAAAAAATGAAAGAGAAGTTCGAGAATAGTGCGATGGAGAAAGCATGTGACAGCAGCTGCAAAAAGTGTAACACGGAACAACAGAGGTAACAGTAAAACATTCCCTCACCACTCGACGATCAGCTGATTGTATGCTGAACGTGTGGGTCCTGGCGCGAATATTGCAACCTGTATCGCCTTTACAACTCATCTGACATAACATCGGTTCGATGACCGCGGACACCGACCAATCCGGTAATGGGGCTTCTGTTATGCCCTATCTACTTAGTTTTGGACCCGACAGCGCCCTATGTGTTACTCTTAGAGGCCACTGGGTATTCCTGGGGAAAAATCTTGAAAACCATTTCTGTCATAAAATATGCCTTTATGGATAGGATCCCTAATCTGGTCGGAATAGCAGAAGCACGTAGGATGGGGTTGAACCACCTCGTTGTTAAGGAGCGGAATAGGAGGAAATGGGCAAGGCTTCGCGACTGATTATAGCCGCGCCTATTTACTCTTTAGAGTAGCTCTATTTATATCTCTTGAAAGTAATGACTCAATTGCGTCCGACAAGGGGTTTCCCTCGTGATGATTAAATCGACATAGTGCGGAAAAAGTTTGAGATCTATTCGGCGTTAGGTGAATTGCATATAGCGTTTCATGAAAAATTTAAGAAAGATGCTAATTCGACAATAAAAACAGGATAGAAAAATGGTCAATGCCAACTGGGATGCGCCTCGCGTTTGACTTCCACTCAGGATGCGTATGTAGCCTGTAGATAGTCGCGGGTGGCGAGCCGATGTACAAGTGACTGCCTCTATTATCCTAAACGGGCCTGGTTCTAGTCAACCGATTTTGGGGGACTAGAAGGCTTTGTTGGCTTTGGCAAGTATCTGTCTAAAGTTACGGGGCAGATCAGTATGTAGGCCATGAAATCGGCATCTTCAGCTTGCAGTTTCAGCTTGAAAACATGGTTTGTAATGGAAATTTTTATAACACCTTTCTTGATAGGAAACTATGACACTAAAAAAACCAAAGGGGTCTTCCCGGCATTGGTTAACGGCTCAGATAGGACACAAAAAAAAGCTTCAAAACCTCTCACAGCA